CGGGCCGGGAGCCCGACGCCGTCCTGCGTTCGAAGTCGGGGCCCGGGGGAGCGTGGGGCTGCCCCCGCGTGAGCTGAAGGACGCGAGAGTGGGGTCGGACTCCCCGCGGAGAGCCGTGCGGTCGGGCGGTGAGGGGTGGCGGCCGTGACCGGTCGTGGCGCCTTCCCGGGCGGGAGCTGAGCCTGCGGCTCCAGAGTTCGACACGGACCCAAGACGCTGGGCGCTGCGTGTCCGTGATCACCCGCTTTGCCGCGGCTTAGCCTTATGGCCCGTCCCGCTGTCAGCTCCGTGGTGTGCGGCGGAGTGAGGACGTTAGGAAGTCTTTCCGCGGGACCCAAGGAAGAGCTCGAGGGGCAGTGCCCCAAGGACGTAGACTATTCCGGCCCAAAAGAGCTCCCGCCGCGCCTTCTCCGCGCACCGCGGCTGCACGGCCCCTGCCCCCAGCGCCCGGCCAGCTCCTGGGGCGTGCGGGTTCCGCCTTCTTACTCGAGGTGGACGCGGGCTGCTTTTGTCTGTAGCCCTCCCCACGGGGCGCCGAGGCCGCCCGCTCTGCTTCTGCGATCGCCCCTCCCAGGGATGCTGCGCGGTGTTCCGAAGCCCGGCGGGCAGGGCGACCTCGCGTCGTGCCTGCCCCCTGCACGCTCTCCGGGCACTCCCTGACGGCTGTGCGAAGTGAGCACAACCGAAAAGCCTCTCCACTCCAGCCGGTGTCCCGGGGCTTTCCCCGGGCCCTCCGGCCGGGCGCCAGGCTAACTCCTCAGAATGCGGAGGCTTTCGCTCCGCAGAGCCGCGTGGAGTGTGTCTTGTCCCCTAAACAACCCCTCTAGGTCCCTTTAGCTCGGCATTTTTTGTCACTGAGGCCTGATTCACCACAAATGTGTGAGCTTCACAAAAGTCGAAACCCCTGTCATATTGTAGGAGTTGCACCGGTATTTGTTGAGAATGGAAAGGAGTAAATGAGTGAATGATGACAGGGACCCTAACTGCAAGCAGTTTCCGCAGAAGTGGACGAAGGGAGAGAATGCCAGCAGTGCTCGGTGACTGAGCTCGCGGACTGAATGGCACTCAGATGTGTAGCCTGGTTGCCGAGGCTGATGGTGGTGACACCAACCGAGGAGGAGCCGCCCTCACGAGCAGTGGGCTCATGGGGAGGAGAGATGGGGAATCGGCGCTGCCTGTGGGGACGCGGCAGAAGCTCAAGGGAGGGACGAGGGCTGCAGGCGAAGCTTTGATGGTGACACCGTGTGACATTTGATAAACATACTTAGAGAAAGACCGTAGGGAGGAGGAGCAGAGAAGTCCAGAACCCAGAAGGACAGCAACAAATGGCTATTATCCAGAGAAGTCCATTAAGTCAGCAAAGAAGCTTGATGGGGACGAGGGGGCTTAGCAGGCTCTGCGGAAGCCACGGGGTGGGGGGTTTTAGAGGACGCAGTTGAGCAGTGTCAAGTGCAGCGGGGCCGCCCCATAGTCTACTTGACAGGTGTTGGTGACAGAACAAGGAGCTCAGGGACACGGCAGGAATGGACAATGTTAGATGGCAGTGAGTTGAGGTGAAGAATAGGGTGAGGGGGACACAGATGTGTGTTTAACACTTTGAGAAGCAGTGGATGTAGAGAGCAAACAGCAGGTGAAGTCGATCCCATGAGACACTAAAGCAACAGGATTTGGTGGCTGAGGGGGAGGGAGAAGCTTCAGACTTCTGGCTGGTGTGTTTGGGTTTACAGGGTGGGACCAGGGCTGAATAGGGACACCAGGGAAGGGCCTGATTGGGGAAGAGGCTCCGAAGTCAAGAGCTCACTTTGCACACGTTAGGTTTTGAGGTGCATTTGAGGCATCGAGTGAGTGGATGGACCCAGATCTGGGCAGAGGTAAAGGGAAGCACAGCCAGGAGTGTGTGAGCTCCCGAGTGGAGAGTGCACAGAAGAAAGGTAGAGGCCAGCCTGGGCCAGAGCCCTGAACACCCCATGCCCCTGGGAATCTGGGGGTGTGGGGGAAGCACGAAGGACGAGGGCTACTTTGGTCACCGCCTGGGGGCAGTGACCAGGTTGGTAGGAAAGAGGTGGGTCTGTGGAAGGGGAGCTGTGGGGTGGCCAGAGCCTCCACTGTTGTCCAAGTCCTGGTAGCAGCGCACAGAGAAGTGTAAAAAGTTTACTAGTCTTAAAAGAGCGTTAAAGTATTTTTAAAAAGGGACAAGTATTTTGGGAATAAAACAGTGCTCCCTTTACTCAAATCCTCGACTGCTCAATAACCAGGCCATGGGCCGTGTTTTACAGAACAACAGCATTTCGACGGTTGCTTTTAACTTATTCTCAACCCAAAAGCATAAAATCAAGCCCCAACGCACTGGAGGCCCTGCTTTCAAAGAGATTTGGCTAAAACAAACGTAATTCTTCAGGATAATGCATAAAGTGATCAGAGTCATTGCCACACGAGGCGGTCGACACAAAGGCCAACTGCCATAGCTTTAGCTTTTCATGGTGTGTTCTGTTTTTCCGTGAAGGTGTTGGGAGAGTCAGGAAGAATTTTATGATTGTTTAGTTCTGCTGCACACATTCAGGTGCCATGTATCTTATCTGAATTCTGAGACCCAGGAAAGCAGGTTTTTTGTGTTTGTTTGTTTGTTTTTAAGATTTTATTTATTTATTTATTTGACAGAGAGAGACACGGTGAGAGAGGGAACACAAGCAGGGGGAGTGGGAGAGGGAGAAGCAGGCTTACCGCTGAGCAGGGAGCCCGATGCGGGGCTCGATCCCAGGACCCTGGGATCGTGACCTGAGCCGAAGGCAGACGCTTAACGACTGAGCCACCCAGGCGCCCCTGGGAAAGCAGGTTTAATGTTTTTTGTTTTTTTTTTTTTAAGATTTTTATTTATTTGACAGAGAGATACAGCGAGAGCAGGGACACGAGCAGGGGGAGTGGGAGAGGGAGAAGCAGGCTTCCCGTGGAGCAGGGAGCCCGATGCGGGGCTTGATCCCAGGACCCCGCGATCATGACCTGAGCTAAAGGCACACGCTTAACGACTGAGCCACCTAGGCGCCCCTTTAATGGAGTTTTGATGTGGCCTCTACCCCTCCCTCCTCTCCTGATTGTATTTCTCTTTTGAGACTGCACCGTCGAATCAGAAAGCACAGAAACTAAGGGTCTTAGTTTCTTTGCTTAGGTAAAAGCAAGAGTAGGTATTTCCTGATCCTGTAAGTGCTGCTGAGATAATATAAACTGTGCACCATGGTGTTTCCTGAAACAGGTGGGGTGTGGGGGGCCACGCGTCCTACTACGTATACCAGTGGCACCCAGGCTGCAGGCCTGAGGGGCAGTTACTTAATTTGCCCAGTCAAGGCACTGTTTATGCACCATTTCATACGGAATTTGACTATACCCTTCAGACCTAGCTGGGCAAGAAGTTGATCTACATGTGTTGGCTTAAGACTTAGCCTTTTTTTTTTTTTTAATTAAAATGAAAGCATGTAGGTAGCACGCACACATAGGTGCACAAACGTACACGCTACTTACTGTGCGCACTTATGTCTGTATGTGCTCTGAGGATGCCCGCCCCCTCTGCAAGCCCAGTCCATGATCATGTGATCGCGATCAGGCATCTGATTGGGTGGTAGAAATGCTGAATGAAGAGATTCTTCCAATTGATATCCACATTTTCTTTTTTTTTTTTAAACACCCGTATAAAATTTTGGTTTTTGGTTTTTTGACTTTAAAATTCTTACATTCTTCAAATGCCTGCTTTCTGTTGGAATGAGAGGAACTATTTTTTTCTTAAGATTTTATTTATTTATTTGACACAGAGAGAGCACAAGGAGGGGGAACAGCAGAGCGAGAGGAAGAAAACAGGCTCCCCGCCAAGCAGGGAGCCCCATGTGGGGTTCGATCCCAGGACCCTGGGATCATGACCTGAGCCCAAGGCAGACACTTAACGACTGAGCCACCCGGGCGCCCCGGAACGAGAGGAACTTTTGTACATCTGACAGACTCCCAAGATTTTTCATTTCTCTGTACACCCATAAAGGGCAACATCCTGACCTCCCACCTCTGTAGACAGATTTGGGAGATGTTACTTCTCCTTGAATCTCTTACATTTTAGCAGCAGTTGGTTCGATTTGGAACTCAAAAATAGTTGTGGTGTTGGTAGAGTAATTTATGTGTATTGATGTTGTCTAGGTTCAGAATAAAACTCTCTGGGTGTGCTATTGATGGCTTAGTCTCTGTTACTCTTGTTGGCATTTCCTTCAAATGCTCTTGTTCACCTTCAGCACTTTGGTTCCACAAGCCAGTTGAGAGGAGGAATTAATTTATACAGTATTTTTGTTCTGCACAAATCCAGAAAGCCACCGTTAGACCTGAGTTTAAGAGGTCTCTTTCACTTCTTAAGTACTTTGATTTTGGAAACAAATCTCTTCAATTATAGCCTGTACACCTGTAGGCAGAGCCCTGCTCCTGAGGGCCCCCCAGGCCAGGGTGATTGTAACAGCCTGGCACCCTGAGACTTGCTGGTGGTGATGACCACCCTCTCTCACCTCAGGGAGGCCCCCTTCTCTGTTACACGCTGTGTGTGATGATTAGCCTATGAGCCTGTGTAGGCACAACTGCTTTACTCTTAAACTGCTTTTCTGTCGAAATCTGTGACAGGCACTGCCTTTCTGGCTTTTTTTAGTGGATGGATTCCTCTAGAGACTTAGGAGATGAAAGCAACCAGAAAGGAAATACAGTTCTCATGCTTCACACTGATTAAAACACTGATTTCTTCTGAAGTCGACTTTATTTTTCACTGAACTCACAGCGTGATGCGTCAGAGTAACAGGCACCATTCTGAAAGGTAGGAGTAATGAGCATCGTTGTATACGAACACACAACACTACTCTTGTTCAAGTAACAGAGCTAGGGCTTTACCATAGCAGAGGAGATAAAGCCCTTGCACTTGGTTTTCTGTCTGAGGACTTCTGGACAAGGGCAGGACCGAGGCGAGCACTCTGCATCAACGCCAGGTCTCGTGTACGGTTCTTCGTACCTTGATTAGATACTGTCCCAAGTCCCTGTCCCTGTACCCGTCATCCCTACAAGCACCCACCTGACACTGCACCCGGGAGTTCCAGTCTCACCTTGCAGAGACATTGCTGCTGGTTTTGCTTCCTTTAGAATCCTCAGCACGGTTCCCCCGTTCCAGCTTCTGATCAGAGAGGCCTCCTATGATCGTCCCCCTTCCTCCAGCAGATGAGCCCCATTTTACAGACAGCTGGCCCAAGGTCACACTGCTTGTTCCAGGTGCTTTCCGCTCGCAACTGCCTGGCCTCTAAACTCCCCGCTCCCGTATCTGGGGACAAACTTGAAGACACAGTCATGGTGGAAGAGTGGAGACCCCCATCCCTGCCAGATTCCAGGAGGGTGGTCCTAACAGAATCACACCAGAGCAGAAACAAACTGCGTTGTATTCCCTGGGAGAAAACCGACAGGCTCTGCCAGAAACTAGCAGCTCTTTTGATCTCTGGAGGTGCCCGTTAGAGAGTACAGCTGCCCGCGGGCCCCTGGTTCTCGCGCACGGCAGCATCGGGGATGCACGTGCAGGGTCAGCTGCGCGGCGGTGCTGCGCACAGCGCACCTTCCCGCCTTTTGACAAGAGCCAAGGGGTTCCTGCTTGTGAGGACCGTGCACGCAGGCGGCTGTAGAGGCACCTACGTGGTGGGGGCTGAGGCCCGCAGCCGAGGAGTTCCTGCCCTCGGGGCAGAGGTGGGTGGCGTGCACAGGGCCCCCGCGGCGGCAGGTGCCTCCCCTCCGCGGTCTGTCTGTGGAGTATCGGGGGGCGGGCCAGTGCCGGCGCGCCGAGTGAAGAACGTCCACGTGGAGCGCTGACCCTCGGCCAGAACCCCCCTTCCCCCTTCTGGACAGTGACCGGCTCCCCTTTCCTCGCAGGCCCTGCGGGGCGGTCGTGCGTCCGGGGAGGAGACGCTGAGGGCCGGCGTGCTGCGCTCCGAGCCCCGCAGGAACTTGAGAGCGCGGCTGGCGGCCGAGGACCGTTGCGCCGGCTCTCTTATCCTCGTCCCCGCCCCCTCGCCACGAAGCGGCCCAGGCCGGCGAGCGCTCCCCCGGAGGGCCGGTCCTCCTGCGGCTAGCGGCGGCCTGG